CTCCTCCTCCTCCTCCTCCTCCTCCTCCTCCTTCTTCTTCTTTTTTGAGAAACAGTTTCTCTGTATACAGCCTTGTCTGTCCTGGAACTCACTTTGTAGTAGACTAAGCTGGCCTCGAACCCAGAGATCCACCTGCCTCTGCCTCCTGAGTGCTGGGATTAAAAAGTGTGGGCCACTACACAGAATGAGCTTTCTTCAGGCATGTGGCCCCTGGAAGGTTGTCCCTGTTCCAGCAGATGGCACCATACTCTTGCATATACAAGAAATGCTAATTAGACTCAAGTGAGCCATGAAGAGTTTGTTGGGTGCAGTCTGGTAGAGTGTGGGAATAAATATAAAAATATATGTATATGTGTGTATGTATACATATATATGTGTATAAATATATATATATATGTGTGTGTGTGTGTGTGCAAATATATATATGCATGAAATTCTCACATAATAATAAATTTAAGACCAGTCTGGTCATCACAGCAAGTTCCAGGCCAGCTGGAGCTATAGAATGAAATCCTGTCTCAAAAAATAAATAGATAGATAAGCAAATAAAGGAATGTCCTCAAATAATATAAAAAATTAATTTTATGAAATCTCAAACCTGGAACAATGGCAATTACTCATAAATCCTTCCTGCTGCAGATCAAAAAGGGGCTGTGTAACTGAGCTGCAGACTCACCTTACTCAGAGAATATCACTCTGATTTATGAGCATGAAAGGTAGGCAAACCACAGTTATTTAAGCTTGTACTTTTAACGGACATTTTCTCAACAAAGAATGCTGTGACTTCAAAAAAAGCAGCTCATGGTATCTGATCTAACACATAATTTGGCCTTTCAAGTAAAACTTGTAATTCTGGAAAATGGCTACCATGGTGAATCTTGCAGCTTTATAGTACTTCAGGATTTTAAGATTGAGTTCATCGTAATATTAACACATGCAATTGTTGTTGTTGTTTTGAGATAGAATCTCACTATGTAGCCCTGGCTGTCCTGATACTCTGTAGACCAGGCTGGCCTCAAACTCACAGAGATCTGCCTGCCTCTGCCTTCCAAAGGCTATAATTAAAAAGCATGCACCATTATACCCAGCTACGTGCAATTTTTGTACTGTGTGCGATCTGCCAATGTTCTGAAGACCTATATAAGTCAATGAATTACTATTTTCTGGATAACCAATGCACTAAGTCATATATTAAAAACAATATTCACAATGTCTAGATAGTCAATTTATTTAAAATGTGAAAAGTTCATTGATAAGGTTTTAGATTCCATGCTGGGAACAGCCACTAAGAAAATATCAGTTGCAGCCAGGTGTGATGGTGCAGGTCTTTAATCCCAGCACTCAGGAGGCAGAGGCAGGCGGATCTCTGTGAGTTCGAGGCCAGCCTGGTCTACAAATTGAGTTGGAGGACAGCCAGGGCTATTATACAGAGAAACCATGTCTCAGAAAAAAGAAAAGAAAAGACCACTTGCTTAGCACACAAAGAGGAATATCTAAAGTTTTCTGAAAAAGATATTAAGTACTCCTTTTCCCCTAATAACATAGCCATATAAAAGGAGACCAGATGTAGAAGTAAAGGAGAATCAGCTGACTTCTTTTAATTCAAAAAAGATGTAGAGTCTTTTGGGTAGATGCCTAAAAGTGGTATAGCTAGGTCTTGTGGCAGATCAGTTCTCAACTTTTTGAGGAAACTCCACACTGATTTCAGAATATAGCCCCACAAAGACACATGAACTAAAAGCTTGGTCACCATTTGGTGACTCTACTGAGACATAACAGAACTTTTAGGAAGTGGAGCCTGGTTGGAACAAATTAGCAGCTCCTCCATCACCTACTCCCACCACAGCAAATGAAGCGGCCACAGGCCCACAGCATCAGGACCAAGCAACATGGGCGGAAACCTCAGAGCAATGAGCCAAAATCAACAGTTCTTGCATTGTTTATCTCAGGTATTACATCACAGCAGTGAAGAGCTAACTAACACCATAACTTACTCATAACTACATCCTTTACAACAAAAAATTCTTTAGTATCTTCAATAATCTAAGAGTGCAACTGGGGAGAAAAGGAGAGAGAGAAAATATGGCCATAGTACAATGAATATATATCATGAAAATGCCATAATAAAACCCATTATCTTTAATGAAAGATTAAAAAGGCAACAAATTAGACCTTGTCACAAAAAAGACAAAGAGTCTCGAGACCACAAAGTCTGAAAAGCAATCTCCTGTGTCACTTAATAATAGAGTATATGCTTAGCAGGCACAAGTCTCTAGGTCTAACCTCCAGGACCAAAATAAAAAAATGAAAATCAAATTATGAAATTCAAAATCCCATTGTGTCAAAGCTAAGTGTTCCAAACTGTATAGGGCTAGATCTCACATTAGTAACTGCAATCTGCTGCCGTCATTCAATCATAGCTGTACTTTACAGTAAAATGTGTCATAGCCTGTTATTTGAATTATCTTTGTTGTTCATGGATTCTACAAAGCAATTATAAACTATTCAATTATTTTAAGATAAGCTAAGTGTGGTAGTGTACTTGAGAGGTAGATCTCTGTATGTTTGAAGCCAACCTGGTCTACATAAAGAGTTCCAGGCCAGCCAGAGCTACATAGTAAGCCCCGCGTCCCTGTCCCTGTCTCTTTATCTACCTGTTGATAGATCAATAGATATATGATTAAAAAAAAAAAAAAAACCATGGACTGTCTATATTTCTCAAAAAAAAAAAAAAAAGCATCCACATTTCTTACCCCACCCTCCCCACCCCGCCACCCTCTTCACCAGCCACACTTGGCACATTCATTGCCAGTGTCTTTTTCTCTGTATTCTCAGTGTCCAGCACAGTATCTGAACAAAACAGGCACTTCCTGAACATCTAAAATATGTCTCTTAAAGGGTAGTGCCAAGAAACAAACATACTGCTCCGGATCACTTCTTTCAATTTGTGAAACATGATCCACTGACAATGTTACCATCTGTCTTAGGGTTTCTATTGTTGTGAAGAGACACCATGACCATGGCAACTCATATAAAGAAAAACATTTAATTGGGGCTGGCTTATAGTTTCAGAGGTTTAGTCCATTATTGTCATGGTGAGAAACATGGCAGCATGCAGGCAGACATGGTGCTTAGTCTCACTGCAACTCGATATGCCATACTTTGTTGATACCCATGGGAGACCTGCCCTTTTCTGAACAGAAACGGAGGAGGAGGTGGGGGGCAAAGAGAATGTGGCTGGGGGCGGGGGTGGACTGAGAGGAGAAAGAAAGGGGAAACTATAGTAAAATCAATCAATTAATTTAAAAAAAGGCAGTCTGAGCAAGCCATGAGGAGCAAGTCCTCCTCCGTGGCCTCTGCATCAACTCTTGCCTTCAGGATCCTGCCCTGGCTTCTCTAAGTCATGGATTTATAAGCTGTAAGGTGAAATTCCTTTGTGAGTTTGAAGCCAACCTGGTCTACATAATACTGGGATCAGAGAGGCTCCCTAGCATTCTGGAGTGTACGTGCCATGCTTGAAGGCATTCTCAAATACACATGGTGCTGGGGGCTGAACCCAGGGCCTCGCACATGCTAGGCATGCGCTCACTGAGCTACATCCCCAGCTCATGCTCACTGAGGTACATCCACCCCCTAGTGCTCACTGAGCTACATCCCCCACTAGCACTCACTGATTTGGGGAGAAAAACCTAGGAGAAGGAAAGCTAAGCTATGTGTAGAGTTACTGGTGTCCAGCCACCTGGTCCTAAAGAAGCTGGAGTTCCCCGTGACAGAGGGACGTAGAAATAATCTGCCAAGCAATTCAAGGTGAGCAGCATTGTAACTCTGTCTCGCTGTTGACCTGAGGGCTGTGTGCAAGCCAGACATACCTGGAAGCCTGTGCTGCCCAGACACCATGATGAGCAGCTTCTCCTGCTCCTCCATGAGCCTCTGCAGCTGTTCCAGCTGCTGCCTCTTCAGTTGCTCCTGCTTCTTCTGCTGTATTTCTTTCAGCTTTTAATGTAAAATCAAGTAATATTATACTTCACGACACCCCTTATCATTTATCTTAATTCCTCCATCCTCCCTTCCCAGATCAGCCCTGGTAAATAATTTCAAAAAAAGATATTTCCCGCCCACCCCCCCATAAGTATATTTGCTACAAGAACACTAAAATCTAATTTCTTCTAAAGGAAACACTATCAGTATTTCAAATAAGAAACGGGGAAAGCGACTCCTTCCAGTCTGACAAGGGGATGGGTATACCAGGACATCAAATATTTTCTGATAGTTGATCAACCATTTCTGACTTCACAAGTGGCAATTTAAAACCATGAATTTATCTTAACTGCTACATTCTGTGTATGTTTATCAAACACATCTTAACGTTTCACATTAGACAGAGGACAAAAAGGGAAGACAAGACAACCAATAATACAACACCTATAACAATACAAATATCACTCGGGCCAAACCCTACCTGTTCCAGTTTTTTAAAAAGCAGGTTCTTATTAGCCACTTCTTTGAGTTCACTCGCAAGATCAGGCATAAAGTCGTTTTTGTTATCTTCCTGGTATCCAGGGGCATCCTGACATGACACCATTGGTTCCTTTTTAACTAGAGGAAAGACTGCATAGGCTTCGGAGTTTTCTGACTGTAGTTTATAAAGTCCTCCAGCCTCCAACTTCTCTTCTTCCTGGAAGGAACCCTCTTCACTACTAATGCTGAAGCTGTTGGAAAAGCGGGTGGCTTTAACTGGGAAGCTGGAAGAGACATTTGTAACTGCTTGTTTCTCATCTTCCAAAGTAGGAAATCCTCGATTTAATATGACCCCAGCCCGAGGACTGGTCATCCACTGGGTTAGGAAGTTCTGCCCACTGTTTAATTCTGAAGAGGTTGGCATCAGGAACATTTCAGTCTAATGATCCTTTTAAACACTGGGAAATCCAGAACACCTACTGACTTTTAGCACCTGTAAAAAGAAAGCCAACAATGAGTCTTCATTAAAACTGTTACATATGCTCCGCCCAAAGTAGCCCAAGCCTCAACCCAGCGCGAAAACTAACATTAACTACACAGAAGACTGTCACAGGGAGTGACAAGGTGGTTCAGTGGTAAAGATGCTTGCCACCAAGCCTGATGGCATGAGTTCAATCCCCAGGTCCTACATGGTAGAAGAGAACCACTCCTACAAGCTGTCTTCCGACCTCAGCATTCTCACACAGCGCGCACACACACACACGCACACATGCACACATGCACACACACATGCACACACACACACACATGCAAACATGCACACACACGCAAACACGCGCGCACACACATGATATAGGCAAGCATAAAAAAAAAAGACTTTAATAAGAAAAGCAACTGAACAGTAAACTGCTTGGTTGATTTGAGTTTTACTTCAGAAATGTAAAGAGAGTAGATCAGAAACCTCAGGACACTTACGATCTAATCATTTAATTAGTAAGATATACACATGCTAGATGAGTTGACCTAAAACTATAGGATCTTAGACACCCTTAAGTTCTTCAATTCCAAATATATATATATACATATATATATTGTATGTGTATGTATATATATATATGTGTGTGTGTGTGTGTGTGTGTGTGTGTGTGTGTGTGTGTATTTTGTATGTGTATGTGTATGTGTGTATCTCAAGAAGGCACAGCCAATGTCAAGTACTATTGTACACATACACTTGTTTCTTTGCCCATTTGGGGAACTGAACAAAAGTCATCACACTAACCCACCCCCCCCCCCCCCCCCCCCTGTCTGCTTTGGCACTCTGTCCCACTTATACAAGTCCTCAGCCACTGGCAGTCAGACCCTGCCCGTATTCCAGGTGACCCTAGCATCAACAGTTAGCACTAATCTCGGTATTAATAGTATTTTGTTATCATGTTTATTCATATGCTACCAAACTGTGGAGACCCTGGAAAAGCCTATGCACCCTCTACTGCCTAGTCCCATACAAACAGAAGGAACTTGGTAGATTTGTTTGCTAAAATTGTTAAAAATAAGTCAGAACTTTGCGTTTAAAATAATTTCAGTACTACAAAGTATTATTTGTGTTCATTCAATGTTCAACAATAAAAATTACATTGGCTCGAGTCATAGGAGCTTCCTGTATGAATCATCAATTTTTGGTGGTGAACTACATTAAAGAAATACTTACACAGAGAAGACAGGCTCCTTCCTATGTCTGATTTTCCTCTACTAACATTCTCTAATTTCATGTTCTACTGTTTTCGGCTCTGGGTACACACAGCTGTTAACAGGTCCTGGGGTTTCTATTGCTGTGATAAACACCATGACCAGAGCTAGAGAGATGGCTCAGAGGTTAAGAGCACTGGATGTTATTCCAGAGGTCCTGAGTTCAATTCCCAGCACCCACATGGCAGCTTACAACCATCTATAATGAGATTTGGTGCCCTCTTCTGGTGTGCAGGCATACATGCAGACAGAACACTGTAGACATAATAAATAAATAAATAAATCTAAAAAACCACCAAAACAAAACACCATGACCAGGAGGAAAGGCTTTATTTCACCTTATAGCTTATAAATCCATCACTTAGAGAAGCCAAGGCAGAGGCCAGGTGGTGGTGGCACACGCCTTTAATCCCAGCACTCGGGAGGCAGAGACAGGCGGATCTCTGTGAGTTCAAGGCCAGCATGGTCTATGGAATGAGATCCAGGACAGGGACCAAAACTACACAGAGAAACCCTGTCTCAAAAAAAAACAAAAAAGAAGAAGAAGAGGGAGGAGGAGGAGGAAAAGAAGGAGGAGGAGGAGGAGGAGAAGGAGAAGGAGAAGGAGAAGGAGAAGAAGAAGAAGCCAAGGCAGGAGTCCGAAGGCAGGAGCTGATGCAGAGGCCATGGAGGAGTGCTGCTTACTGGCTTGCTCCTCATGGCTTGCTCAGACTGCCTTCTTTTTTTATTTTAATTATTAACTTATTTATTTACTTATTTTATATCCTGACCACAGTTTCCCTTCCCTCTTCTTCTCCCAATCCCCCCCCACTACCACCACATTCTCTTTGCCCCCCACCTCCTCCTCCGTTTCTGTTCAGAAAAGGGCAGGTCTCCCATGCATATCAACAAACCATGACATACCAAGCTGCAGTAGGACTAAGCATTAAGGCAGTCACCTCTTTTAGTACTCTTTTCCTCCATCCCCTACCTGATCCCTCATGTTCCCATCCCCACCCATCCCTGTCTACCCATGATGATGTAGATGCTCAGGAAGAGAGTCAGGTATTAGAGCATAAGACAGATGAGAAAGTAAGAAGGCAGAGTGGAAGAGGGAAGGGTGGCCTGGGAGCCTAGGGCCTCCTGTGGACATAGGTTTAATCATACACACACACGCACACGCACACACACGCACATGCACACGCACACGCACGCGCACTTGCGCGCGCACATACACACGCACGCACACACTCACGCACGCACACGCACACGCACACACAAGGGAGAGGTATGCACTCACACAAAGAAATAAAACCTAGAAATTTTGTGGCTAACAAACATATCTAGCTTTCCAAGTGGTGTATAACAAATATACAAAAGATATAAACAGAAAAATAGATGTCTAAGCATCAGAATATGTTCACCCTCATGCCATTGAAAAGCCAAAAATGATGACAGTAACAATATACCTTTTTTTGCCCCCATGCACTGGGTTGACAAAGACTAGAGACTGCCATAAAGACAATATGACGAAACAGAAATTCTTTTAGTCAGTATTCCTTAGATATATAACATATGCGGAAAGTAAGGCAGTTATCTATCCAAGCTGTAAAACGCACAAAAGCTCTGGTCTAGCAATTTTGCCTCTAGGCGTTGTGTACCATTGTCTTATTGGCACAAGCTCAGATTTGCAGTAAACTGAAAGAAGCAGGTGTTGTGACCCCCACCTGTTCCACCAGCACTGAAGAGACTAAGGCAAGGGAGTTCCAGGCCAACCTGAGATACAGTGTGAGACCCTGCCTCAAGATGGAGCTTTGTGATGTTTGTTTACCACGTGAGACCCTGGACTCAGTATCCCATACTAAAATAAATAAACAAGCCAAGCGTAGTGGCCCACACCTCTAACTCCAGCACCTAGGAAGCTGAGGCAAGTAGATTACCATGAGTTCCAGACCAAACTAACTTACACTGTGAATTCCAGGCTAGCTGCCCCACAGAATAAGTAAGACCCTGTCTCAAAAAACCACAAGGGGCTGGAAAGAGGGCTCGGTGGTTAAGAGCTCTTCCTGCTCTTCCATAAAAGCCAAGTTCAGTTTCCAGCAACCACATGGGACAGACAGCTCACAACCACCCACAGCTCCAGCTGCTGGGAATCTGATGCCCATTTCTGACCTCCGCCAGCACTTGAACTCATAGGGCATACAGTCATTACACTTACACACACACACATAAATAAAAATAAAAACCTTGCCGGGCGGTGATGGTGCATGCCTTTAATCCCAGCACTGGGGGGTGGGGGGAGCAGAGGCAGGTGGATCTCTGTGAGTTCGAGGCCAGCTTGGGCTACAGAGTGAGTTCCAGGACAGGCTCCAAAGCTACACAGAGAAACCCTGTCTCGAAAAACCAAAAAAAAAAAAAAAAAAAAAAAAAAAAAAAAACTATCCAAGATATACTGTTAATCATAAAGTACAGAGCAATCTGTATTATAAGAAATTAGACAGGGGCTGGAGAGGTGGCTCAATGGTTAAGAGCTCTTGTGGAGGATGTGAGTTCAAGTCCCAGAACCTACATGGTAACTCAAGGCCATCCAAAACTCCAGTTCCATGGGATTCAACACCCTCCCCTGACCTGTGAGGGGACTAGGCACACAAATGATGCTCATACATAAAGTTCACTAGTGAGGGGAAGAAAAATCAAGTTATAAAACCCAGTGTGGCGGTTAGTTTTTGTCAGCTTGACAAAACTAGTCATTTGGGAAAAAGGAACCTCCCCTGAGGAATCGCCTCCATCAGACTGCTCTGTAGTAGGCAAGTCCTTGGGTGCATCTGAATTAATGACTGACGTGGGAGGGCCCAGCCACTGTGGGTAATGCCACTCCTGAGCAGGTGGTTCTGGGTTATGGGGGAAAGCAAGCCAGGAAGGGAGGCACTAAGCATCACTCTTCCATGGTTTCGGTTCCTACCTCGAGCTCCTTCCCTGGCTCCTCTGAATGACAGACCATAACTTGTAAGCTGAAATAAACCCTCTCCTCCCCAAGCTGGTCAGTATTTTGTCACAGCACAGAAAACCAAACTAGAACACCGAGAGAGATAGGGGCTGGTACTTCCGGGGAAAGGCTCCTGCCTTCAGGGAGTACAGACACTGTGTTATACACACACTTCAGAGTAGCATACATTAACTGGCTGCCGGTATCCAGTATCTGTTCATTCCTGAATAGTCATTTCTTGTTGTAAGAAAGCTAATCCTAACTGTTTTTACATTAGGAACCTACCTAAAAAGGTAAGGCAGGGATTTTCCAGTCAACCTTGGTGAAATTTCAACATCCTTAGTAAGAATTTTTTTTTTTAATCCAAACCTAGGGGCTCACACAGGGGACCCCAGCACTGAGAAGGAAGTGTCATTAGTGTGAGAACAGTCTGGCTATAGTGCAAGGTCCAGAAGACAGTGTGAGTTAATATGAGAAACTGTCTTAAAAACAAAAACTGCAATGGCTCCAAGTGGGTAATGTGCTTAAGCCTGAGCTAGTGCCGGAACCTCCACACATGAACCATGACATGCACGAACCCAATACAAATCACAGACACAATACTTTAAAATAGCAACCTTTAGATGAATAAGAAAAATCTTAATTTAGAAAGTAAACAAACTTCGAAGTCACTCTGTAATGTGAAAATAGTCAATAACTCCCTACCAGACTGACAAAAGTGTAATGTTGGTTTAAGGCAGCATCTTAACACTGTCTTTACACACACACACACACACACACACACACACACACACACACACTTTTTTAAAGGACTAAAACGTCTGCACATTGCAACAATTTCCTTCCTATGATCCTAAAAAATTACTTACTGCCATTTTTAAGTATAGAAATACTGAGTCACAGTCGGGCATTGGGGATGCACAGACTTAATGCAATATTTGAGTTGGAGGCCAGCTTGGACTACATCAAGTCCTTGTCTCAGGAACGCCAAAAGTGTTCCCCCCAAGTCTGCTTTTTATTACTAATATGAAAGCCTTGGTGAACCACAAGTGATAAAATGTCTAGAACAGTATATAATGTATACACAGACATTAAAATCTGAGGTATACGGTATCTGTTCATGAAGCTGTAGGCATTGCCATAAATTAACTACACATCGATAAAGCTGTCTTTAAAAATACAAAAATTTTAAAAGTCGACTAATTGAAAGGTTGACGTCTTTAAAGCTATCTGAACAAAACATAAAATTCTGCACTGGAGGTGGAGGAAGATATGAGTGGACAATTCAGACCTTGAAAACTTTCGGCTGACAGGTCCACCTCCCCGGAAAACACAGCTCTTCTCGAAAGCCACAAAGCTTTTGGAGAAGCCCCGATGGACCCTGAAGGACATCAAGCAGCACCATTACACCCGGCCCGGCGAGACAGTGTCCCCGGCGGGCGTCACCGGAGCCTCTTGCCCGCCTCACCCGGGACAGAAACACCCACCGCCCTCCCTTGAGGGGCGATCTCCCGGGTGCTCGGAAGAACAAAGCGGGTTTAAAAGCCCCGGAACCACCGCCGCCCGCCGGCGCCCGGCCCTCCGCGCCACGCCAGCCCGAAACCCGAGCTGGCCTCTCAGAAACCGGACGGGCTCCTCCGGCTTCTTTCGCCCCCCAGTTACCGTTCCACGAAGAGCCAGCGGTCCAGACCACTCCAACCAATAACAGAGTCACCATCCAGTAGCCGCGGCATTTACGAATGAGCCGCCACAACCACCGCGGCGGCCAGAGCCCCGCCTCCTCGCCTGGCCCCGCCCAGCCCTGCTCCGATGGCTCTTGGGAAGTGTAGTTCCTACCGCCCCTGTGAGCTTGCGCGCAGGCCCCTCGGGCACACGCAAACTACAACTCCCAGCATCACCGCCACAAACGTTGCTAGGGGATGCGCTTTGCGCGCTCTTTTGCGGCGGGCACTGGTCAATAGCTAAGTTGTTCCGGAGAGGAAACCCGTGCAGTCTTGACATCTGCTGTAACAGAAGGCGTGACCCCGGGTGCCAGGAACGCGGAAACTCAAGCCTAACCTAAAGATGAAAGGTTTGGAAGAGTTTTGCTGCCCTCACTTTTTTTCTTTGGATTGATTCGACTTAATAAAGGCCTGTTTAGAAAAGCAAAACAAAAATGACTTTGTTTGGTAGGGTGATTAAGTGAAGATAACCGTGGAAAAATTCACTCCGGAAAGAATCATCTATTATGTGGGTAATAGGTGGCTTGACAAAGTGTTCATTCGGTATTTAAATCTTATATAGACTACTAAAAGTGCAGATATTAAAATATGTGGGATACTGAGTGCAGATTTCACTATTTATATTTCCACCAGAGGGCTTCTGGAATACAGACACGACTCTTTAATCTAGAAGTACTTCATGTTACCACAGTGTACAGTCCTGGATTGAACAACACTGTAGATTGGATAGCATCTATTTTTTTTTTTAAGATTTTGTTCTTATTTTTAAGTTATTTCTACTTTATGTGAATGCATGTTTTTCCTGCATGTAAGTATGAGCCTCACATGCGGCCCTGCTGCCTTCGGAGGTCAGAAGCAGGCATCGGATCCCATAGAACTGTAGTTACAGATGTTTATGAGCTACCATGAAGGTTCGAAACTGAACCCCGTCTTGGGCAAGAACAGGAAGTGCTCATAACCACCGAGCCATCTCGCCTTCCCTTCTCCCTCCAACCAAGCAGCATCTTTAAAGACATCACATGAAGGCTAAAGATGTAGCTGAGCTGATCAAATGCTTGCCTAGTGTCTGCTGGGCCTGGAGTGCTCTCTCCAGCTCTGCATAAAGCAGAATTAGTGGCCAGTCTCCGAGGTGGTGAAGGTGAATCAAAAATTCAAGTCATCTTCCAACATATAGTGAGTCAGAGGCCAGCATGGAACATGAGACTTTATAACTTGCCCTTTATAACTGTAACTAGCTCAAATAAACCACTACTTTTAAAGATAATTAAAATTTAGCATAGAGGCCTCAAACCTGGAAACTTAGGGAAAGGTTTTCAGAGATCTGTTTTGTTAGGTTACATCACAGATAAGGAAACCAAAGCCCAAGAATGTTGGGGAATATTATTCTAAGGTGTGTTACTTTTGTTTATGTTGTATTTGTTTAGCTCTGTGAAGCTGTGATACTTTGTCTAAAACACCTGCTGGTCTAATAAAGAACTCAATGGCCAATAGAGAGGCAAGAAAAAGGATGGGCGGGGCTGGCAGGCAGAGAGAATAAATAGGAGAAATCTGGGAGGAGAGAGGAGCAAGAGAAGTAGCAGCCAGAGAAGGAAGAGGACTCCAGGGGCCAGCCACCCAGCTACACAGCAAGCCACGGAGTAAGAGTAAGATTTATAGAAGTAAGAGAATGAGAAAAGCCCAGGGGCAAGTAGATGGGATAATTTAAGATAAGAAAAGCTGGGGTTGGGGATTTAGCTCAGTGGTAGAGCACTTGCCTAGCAATCGCAAGGCCCTGGGTTCGGTCCTCAGCTCTGAAAAAAAAAGAAAAGAAAAGCTGACAAGAAATAAGCCAAGATAAGGCTTGGCAGTTGTAAGTAATATTAAGTCTCTCCATGTGTGATTTATTTGGGAGCTGGGTGGTGGCCCCCCAAAAAAGAGCCAGAAAATCCCCAACAACACAAGATTTCCAAGATCACACACATAAGATGCTAAACAGAGCAGTTCAGTGAGCAGCAGGACCCTTGTCTAATATGCTGGAGGCCCTGGGTTCCATCTGCTACCCTGCAATCAACCAGCCCATAAATTAATTTAAAATGCTGGACAAGGGCTCAAATGGTCTTCATTTGACCTGAAAGGATGCCCAAAAATCATTTTCTTAAAATGTGTGTCTTTAACGGTAATCACAATATCTTTCACTTTTTCTGCCTACATTTTATTCTGTTATGCGATGTTTTTATTGTGTTCTGACAAATAAAGCTTGCTTGGAGTCAGAGGGCAGAGCTAGCCACTAGCTGACGGTAGAGGTTTGATGGACTGTAGACAGAGAGGAGACAGGAAGTGGTAAGGCGGGGCTGAGAGAGGATCTCGGCTCTTTTTGAGCAGAGGAACGGAAGAGGTAGGAAGCAACTGGCGACTTCTCCCTGCTCTCTCATCTTTCAGGTTCTTACCCCAATATTTGACTCCCGAGTTTTTATTGCTAAAGATTGATTAATTAATGCTTCATCATTCTCTATGGTATGTTGTGCCGCATTGCCACATTACTTGTTGACTGATGAATTTTGTCACACTCATCCTCTCTCTCTCTGTGTGGTGATCCTCTTGCCTTCACCTCCCAAGAGCTAGATCACAGGTATGTGCCACAATACATGACTCCACACTCAAGTTTAAACTAGATATTAAGTTTCTAATATATCAGGTAGGGCTACACAGAAAAACCCTGTATTGAAACACCACCACCTCCCAAAACAGATTCTAATATGTAAGTTATCACCTGGAACCTACATTTAAAAAATAGTAGGGTACAGGCATATACCTGTTATCCCAGCACTTGGACAGAGGAGGCAAGAGGAGGTCAAGGTCATCCCTTGAACAGCTACAAACTGTTGAGGTGTTTTGAAATATCTAATTATGCTCAACTATAATTGTTGGTGGTGGTTATTCTTTTGGGGGGCTGCCACCCAGATCCCAAGTAAACACACATGGAGGCTTATTCTTACTTATGAATGCCTGGCCTTAGGTTGGCTGTTTCTTGCCAGCTTTCCTTAACTTAAACAATCCCTTCTATCTTTTGCCTCAGGACTTTTCCCTTTTTCTTACTTCTGGAACCTTACTTTGTTTCCTACTCCATGGCTTGCAATGTAGCTGGGTGTCTGGCCCCCGATGTCCTCCTCCTCCTCTAGCTACTTTCCTTCTTTTTCTCCTCCTTCTCTTTTCTTCTTTCTCTCCTCCCAGATTTCTCCCTCTATATATTCCCTCTACCTGCCAGCCCCACCTATCCATTCTCCTGCCTCACTATAGGCTGTTCAGTTCTTTATTAGACCATCAGGTGTTTTAGACAGGCACAGTAACACCGCTTCATAGAGTTAAACAAATGCAACATAAACAAAAGTAACACACCTTAAAATAACATTCCACAACATTTCCCTCTTTTTGTCTAAATAAAAATGAAAGGGTTTTAACTTAAACATAGTAAAACTATATACAATAATAATTATCAAGTAAGGATTACATTCACAATATTCTGTCCATTTGTAGTTAGCATATTCAGAGAAAATAATGCATTATCTATCCAATCTTAGTGAATACAAAACTTTACACCTAATTTACTTTCTATCATAACTAAGGAAAACTGTAACTATTTAGTCTTCAACTCCATCAAAGACTCAGAAGGATGTAATACTATTTAACAACAGAGACATTTGGCTACCTGGATAGTCACCTAAAGTTCCTCTGCAACGTTGGTGCATCCATCTTTAGTCTACGGGCCCAGAATATCTGACAAACTTTTTAGTGAAGCAAGAAATTTGGACTATCCTGCCTTGTTTTGGCAAAGTTTATTAGTCATTTTCCTGTGTGTCCTGCAGAATATCTGTCAGACTCTTCTGTGAAGCAGGAATTTTGTAGGACTGTCCTGCCTTGTTTTGGCAAAGTTAAACAGTCACTTTCCTCCGTGTCCTGCATGTCCAGTCTGCACAGCACATTGTCAGCAGTCAAATGCAAGAACAGTTTCTTTGCCTAGTGGCTAACATTGCCACAGTGAAAGCAAACTCTATAGGGAGTTTCTTCAATGCCCATCATCTCTGAAGAAAATTGGTGCCACCGGGAACAGATGTAGCTCATTGTCAGGAAAAACCCTATGTTAAAAAAACATTTTTAAATGCCATATTCTATAGATCTTTGAAAGGGTTGAAGACCATCTATCTATCTAAAATATATCTCTATATGATCTAGAAAGCATACCTAGCCGGGCGGTGGTGGCGCACGCCTTTAATCCCAGCACTCGGGAGGCAGAGCCAGGCGGATCTCTGTGAGTTCGAGGCCAGCCTGGTCTACCAAGTGAGCTCCAGGAAAGGCGCAAAGCTACGCAGAGAAACCCTGTCTCAAAAAAAAAAAAAAAAAAATAGAAAGCATACCTAACATATCTACAAATTTGGCTTATAAATGACTAATGACTAACCTATATGTTTCCTGATTATCTTATATAATTTATAATAATAGCTTTCAAAAACTAGTACTTCACCCTACATTTCCAAATGAAGTGTATAAGCAAAATACCACAAACAAAAATAGAAACATACATATAGTATTGTTGTAACAAAAATAACCTTAAAATCTTATCAATATATAGCCAGGCATTGGTGGCACATGCCTTTAATCCCAGCACTCAGGAGGCAGAGCCAGGCAGATCTCTGTGAGACTAGTCTGGTCTACAGAGCAAGATCCAGGACAGGCTCCAAAGCTACACAGAGAAATCCTATCTTGAAAAAAGAAAAAAATATATCAATATACAAAAATCCTTTAAACAAGAGTAGAAACATATATACAGTATGTTATTAGCAAAAATTACCTTAATTTTGTATCAATATATAAAAGTCCTTTAAACAAGAGTAGAAACATAGATACAGTGCAACAAAATTAACCTCAAATTTGTATCATTATTCCAAAATCCATGCCAATGTAAAATATCTGAAATTAATAGTTGTCTTTTCATCCTATATTCCCCTAAGGGATGTTTTAAAGAACATCCATAACCCACCAAATAACCAAAAGCCTCCCACATCCCACTTGGGAATGTGGGTGTGGTTTTCTCCACACTGCTTCCTGCTGTCTGTGGATGAAGCGTCTTTAAGGTCCCAGAGAGAAAACTTTAAGAT